CCCCGAAATCATTTTTGGCGGGGGCCGAACGCTGTCGGGTTCGGACCCCGTACGGGACCCCGAATGCCCGTACGTACGGAGGTCTGCCCGGGGACCTCCGTACGTACGGGCTGGTGACCCTGTATATCTCTGCCTACGGTTTACCGGGCAGTTCTATTTGACGATATATATAGATATATGTATGAAACTCCAACGAAACAGTTTGTCACAGCCCCTTGTTTGTGGTCTCTTCTCCCTCTCTGCCTACGGTTTACTGGGCAGCTCTGTTTGACCATATATAGTCAAACAGAGATATCTATTTTGATTTGATTCTGGATTTGAAAAACAGGATCTATTTTTTGGAAACGGAACGAAGCTATACACACGGCGCGGCACAAATGGATTGAACAGCCGGGGTTGCCTTGTTTTCCTGGGTGGCCCGGCCGTGCAAGGACCAGGGAAGGTCCAAGCAAAACATCTAGATGTGTATAAGAGACAGCACACACACACACCTTCAGAGACACGCCCATCTGCACACTTCTGAATAATTCGAAATGTGGAACGCTCATGATACTATAGAGGAGTTGTAGGAGTGCGCTTCATTTAGGAGTTGAGCAGGAATCGTAGGAGTTTGAATTTTGAAGTCACAAGGTGTCAAAAGCTTCAGAAATGGAAGTGTCAGAGACTTTATAGAAGTCAAAGTCAAGGTGTCAAAGACTCTAGAGAAGTATAGACATCAAAGTGTCAAAGACTCCATAAGGTGCCAAGGGCTTCAGAAGGCAAAGTGTCAAAGGCTTTGGAAGTGAAAAATGCGAAAGGCCAAGTTTAGTGTCAAAAATTTAGAAGTTTAGAAGTCAATGTCAAAGATTTTATAAGTCATAAGTGTCACAGATTTTGGAAGTCAAAGTGCCAAAGATTTTAAAAGTCAAAAGTGTCAAAGAATTTAAAAGTCACAATGTGTCAAAGATTTCAAAAGAGTTTAGAAGTCAGAAGAGGGTTTGAGAGGTAGGAAACCTGCAAACCTGACTGGCTTTTTTTTTTTTTTTTTTTTTTTTTTTTACGTGCCTGGTTCTTTTCCATTGACACTTCTTGCTGCATTTTTGAGAAATTGGAATTTCTGTGATGTTTGAAGCTTCATTGAGACTGTCCTGTTATTCACAATATAATCGTAGGATTCGTAGCTGTATTCTCCCTTCAGCAGAAAGGGTGCTTCTCTACGAGTTTTGATACTTCTGCGAGTCTGTTGCCTGCTAATCTAAATTACCAGAGCGGCCCAGGACCACGTCCCCAGCCGGGCCAAAATATATGTTGTCCTCTTCTCCCTCTCGGCCTACGGTTTCCCCGGCAGCTCTGTTTGATGATATATACACAGTTGTTGGGCAGTTGTTGATGCTTAACCACAACCGGGGTTAAGGTAGATTATCACTTACAGTGTAATCAGTTAGGGGACTTCGCAGACTGTTGAGTGTTCAGCTTCCTGACGAGTCCGTGAAACTCTGATGAAACAGTTTGTCACAGCCCCTCGTTTGTTGTCCTCTTCTCCCTCTCTGCCTGTGGTTTACTGGGCAGTTGTGTTTGAACTTTGACGATATATATGACGATATATACGATATATATATTATATATACAGGGTAACCAGCGTTCGGGACGGGCCGAACGCCCGAACCCGAATGCCCGAATGTATGGGACCCCTTGGG